TGTCACACCAGCAGCAAGAACAAGCCACACTTTCCCCCCCTTATACCACAACTGTATAATGGTCGCACAGTAAAACAAACTTTCTTTTTTATTTCTATAGCTGTTGTGCAATGTCGCGGCAACGTCAGAGAGGCGACTTGCTTGGAGCGAGGTTGTGGCAGTGTTAGGATAGCTCTGGTCCAGCCAGCGCCCGTGTACCCCCCCCCCCACCTCGGATTCCTCGGGCAGCAGAGTTTTCCTGCCCCATGGAAGCCCACAGGCAGAGTAACGAAAGGAGCGACAAGCACTGAGACACAGCAGCACGATCAGCCTGTTGGCAAAATGTGGATGGCAGTGTGGCACAGTATGTACCAAAAGCAGTGCAGAGGCTCGTGTGTGTAGACTCCCTATCCTGCCCATCTGCCAGCTGACTGGTACCAACAGCTGTCCCCCCTTTGATCTCCATTCTTTCACAAATTAAACCTTTCTTTTTCGATTCGTAGCTCTGCTGAGAGTGTCACAGAGGACAATACAATTAACTCACCATGCAAATGCTGTTTACAGGCGAAAGTGAAGTGCATTAGATTTGCAAAAATCTCAGCAGTATCAGTGCACAGAAATATATTTGTGCATCAAGACCACTGAGAAATTCAGGAATAAATATGTTTAAAAAAAAAAGGAACACAATGCTCTAGACCTACCTGTCACCAAAAAACTGTCAGAGAACAGCAGACCCCGTCATGTTTACTTCTCAATCTAACATGAAGACGCTTTCACATAGACTCATAAAAGGGATCTTTGTTCATAGTACGCCTAATAAATCAGCCACCATGACACCATAGTGCGCCTTATTTAAAGTCTTCAGGAACCCTGGCTGGGAGCCAGGCGCTCTGCAATACAGTTTGCCACACATTGCTGAAGCCTCCGTCTGTCAGCAGGCACAGCAGCCCAGCGCAGCCTCAATGGCAACAACAACAAAAAAACACCCTGAAAGTCACTCGAGGAGGCTGTCATAAAATGCACTGTGGGAAAAAACAGTGTCGTTTAGTAACACGGAATTATATTTGTTCTGCACATGCAGTGCCACTGAAGGCCATAAAACAAATAGGAATGGATTTGTTGTGGACTGTCATTGGGTGGATTCTGGAATCCCCCTGAAAGACAGGCCATTTTCAGTTTTAACAAGAGAAAAGTCCGTAACATTAAAAACGAACTGTAAGGTTTTTTTTTTTTTTACAACAAATAGAATGATCAAGTCGCTGCATTAAAACTTATTCCATAAATTAGCATAATGATTCAGTCCCTTTGACAAAACTAGATGCTGTGAGAATGACAATAATGTATTCCCCTTTTGGCCCCATCACCACCCCCCCATCTAATCCCTACTCCCCCCACACCCCCCCCCAACCACTGCAATCCCTAGGCCCCCTACACACTCTCCCCAGGAGGGGCTCCTCCCTTTGCCATCACTAAGTGGCATTACTTCAGTTTTGGTGTGATTTGTCTCAAAATGAAAGAGGTCCCAGAGCATTGCCTATACAATGTTCCAGGGAAGTTTGAAAAAGATTCATCAAACACTTTTAGTGTTACTGTGTTCTGTAGCCATCCTTTCCTGCTTCTGCTGCCACCTAGTGCTGCGGCTTCAATTTTAATGCGATTTGTCTCAAAATAAAATACGGTACTGATCTTCATCCATATAAATGTCCTTGTGAAGTAATAAAATCCATAAAATAGTTTTTGAGTTATCAGGCTAACAAAATAAAGTGTATGAGGTCGTACTTCTATTTGCTATCACTGTGTGGCTTATGCAGTTTTGGTGTGATTTGTCTCAAAATATGATCAGTTCCAGATATTAATAAAAATGGATACTTTATTGATCCCTGTCGGGGAATTGTCTTTATGCCTCCCTCAACTTGCTCTTTTTTGTAGAGTAAGTCGTCCGCAAAGGGCAGCCACCTGCAGCGGTGCCCAGGGAGCTGGGGGTTAAGGGCCTTGCTCAAGGACCCACAGACGTGCTGTGGCTGGGTTGGAACCGGTAACCTTCTGATTACAGGCACACAGGCTTAGCCCACTGAGCAACACGCTGCCCTTATATTCATACACTTTGGGTCACAATGTGTCTGCAAAGTTTGAAAAAGACCTGTCAAGTGATGGCAGAGGCGGCGGACCAATCCCTAAACCATATGTATTCTATGTCCAGGGAATACAATAATAATAATATTTGAGTGGCCAGCCTGTTTGCAATAAAAACATTTCTATAATTTCAGAACACATAGACACACACAAACCTGTGTCCCTTGTGAGGTTTCTTGGTCTGGTACTGACTAAGAAGACCGTAGAGAAAAGTCTACAGAATAACCAAGGATAAAGTCAATAAAAAAGCACAGATCAGAAAAAGGTTGTACAAAGTCTACCATATCCCATTGGGCACAATTTATTCACTAAAAATGGAACATGAATCCTACCAGTGCCAACAGCTGCTGCTGAGATCAAGCTACCCAACCAAACTGATTAAAAGGCAAGAAAGACACTGGTAAGAATTGGCTGTGCAACACCAGAGAAAGAACTCCAGAGTTCAACACCGAAGGTAAAACTGGAAAATAACCACATCACTACAGCATCACAGCAGCAAGAAGTTGGAAGCAATCAGTAAAAATGAGCCATTTCAGCACCCACGTGGATTTTGCAACAAAACATCTGAGCGATCTGGCAAAATGCGCAGTGGTCAGGTGGTACAAAATTGGATGCTAGAAGTCTGAATTTGAAATATTAGATTTAGGACCAACGCAGTCCGGAGAAATACAGTAGCAGCAGCATCGTGCTACAAGACGAGAGTGCTTGTCCTTCACACTGACCGCGAAGCATGCTGGAAATGAATGAAAGAGAAGAAAAAAGCAGAGGCAGATTCCAGGGAAAATGTTCACTCTGCCGAAGCCTTAAAGCTGGGATAGTAAGTCACCTTTCCAGAAAGTCAAAAGTCCACATGCTTTCAGGGAAAAGTCCATTCCAAAGTAGAAGGGCAAAGCTATAATGACAGAAGAATAATAATGTGAATGCCTTGGAGTGACAGAAGCAAATTCCTGGCTTGAATCCCATTGATAATCTGGAAATACTTGGAAATTCATAAGCTAGTCCCAGGAAACTTGACATACTGAATAAATCTGCCAAGAAGAATTTGGGAAAACTGCATCAAGCCAGTAAGTCAAGTGTATAAAGATGCATCCAAAAACATACACCTGTAATTGATTGTCCATACCGAGAAATATGGCATTCATGAGTATGAATATGTATGTACATAATATATATTCCCTTTCGTAATATTTACTGTAACCCACTTAACCCAATGAAACATTCAGTCTGTGCTGTCAAGTTTTGAAAAATGTATAGTCCATGCACTACTGAAGAGGTCTTTTGCAAAGCACTACATAAAAAGGTAACAGATCCTTTATAAAGAACACAGGCATAGTCTGGTAGAACGGTAAGGAGGTAAGGAGTTCTGGACTGACACAATTAACAGTCAATTTTAGGTGTCCAGTTAAGATCATTAAACACAGGCATACTTTCCAACAGTGTGGACAAAAGTTACTTAAAAGGTACAATCTATTGCCACCTGCGGCAGGGACTAAGGTATGTCACCGTCATCTGAGTGACCTGAACAATTAGGGCAGACAGATATTTAGGCTTTGACACCGCAAAGACAAAGCACAGTAACTTACAGGTTTTTCGGCATTCTTTCTTAAGCACAGAAATGTATCGATTTATGCTGCTAGGGATCAGAAATTATAAACTAACTTGCATTCTGAAGCAAAATGACCCCCACACACGCCGAAATTGGTAATGTCATTTTATTACCACTGTATTTCCCATTCTTTGCTGAAAACCACATATACAATATTATTCCAGAAATGTAAAAATCAGCAATACATGTTGGAATTACATTGTTTGTACTGTGCAAGGTCATGCGAGGCTACATATCATCTGAAACAAACGTTTTGAGACAGATCACTGAAATAGCAAGTGACATTTGCCATCTGTACTACAATATGTCTATATCAGATTATCTTTTCTTTCACATCGCTCTTATTATGAGATATGGAGAGCAAAACACTACTTCACCGTGCTCTATTAAATGGGTCAACATATTCACGGTGCGATCTTAGGCGAACTGTTGTGCGTTTTCAAGGTCTTATTTAAAGAATCAAAGGAAAATGTCGAAGTACCTCTTAAAGTACATGGTGATCATTGCTGAAATAACAATGCGAACCTACAATACGAACATGTCGTGCATCTGCGATATAAAGATGTCTTTTTCGCGGCAGGTCACTTTATCTCTATTCATCTATATATAGAGTAGAACGACTGATACAGGATGGAAGAGGATTACAAACTGTGCGTCTGGCTTCCCACTTCAGCTTGCTAGAGTCCAAATAGGACACAATTTATACATCTTCTTTTCAATAAGAAAGAAAATCCCAGGTGTATCATTGTAATATATATATATATAACGACCGATATATTTGCTTCATTACATAAAAGGAAATTATATGAATATAACATTAAACTGTTAGAAATTACATTCTTAATTCAAGATGAGTACATTTGTGTAAATCATTTCAAGTAACAAGTGCGTTTAAAGAAATCGCTTTGACTTAATGTTACTCTGAAAATCATACTTTTTAAATTTATGAATTGATAACGGTTATACCTCGAAATACATACAGCATCCCAAATTATACTGTACCCTGCGTCTATATCGCTAAAGTAATCTCTAATGTAGATTGCTGATAGTTGACAAGTATATTTTTAAACTAACGGTGGCCTTAATAAATATGGTCCTTTGTAATTTACAGACAATAAGTATGGGGTATGTCCACTATGGATTTAGCCTGGGAATCGGCTTTATAGCCACCGCACAGAGCAGATCTGATGATGTGCGGCGTTTGTTTTTGGCGCCGCTCTCCCACATTTCAGTCCTAAAAGTCCCCTGGCAGAGCCGTGCAAGTTGCGAAACACGGACTTACCGTCGTTATTTGTTATAATGTCACAGGCGCCATTCAGGATGCCTTCCTTACCTTCCGCGATTGTGCTGTCGTTTATTGCTAAAGAAGTTGTGCGCGCTCCCCTCTCGCCGGTTGCAAGTCGGACTGCGTGCAGCCAGACCTTATTGCAATGTTTGACAATGATGTGCTGGGTCCTGGTTAAGCCCCACACTCGTCCACGCATGCTCATCCCGGGCCCTTAAAGGGCGATGGTACCTGAGCGCAAATGCGCGTCCTAGTTTCCTTATACGCGCAGCGTTGGCGCTTCGCCCCCAGTCGCAGGTTTCCCGTAGAGTAATTGATGTTTGATTTGGACCGATTGTGCATCAGTCTCCAGTGCCACTTCGGATTGGATTATCTCCATTGGCGTGAAGAAGCGGTTGCTTTACTAATCTCCGTTGTAGTTATTCATAGATTTGAAGCGTTCTTGCTCTTCCCGCTTGCTTTCCTCTAAGTTGCATGTGTCTATGTCGCAATATCAAGCATGCAAGGTGACACAGAAACATGGGATGGAGAAGCACAGATTAAGGTCCAAAGGACATGCGATATTTATAGCAGATGGTCATCTATGGAACACGAGGAGGGATTTATGTTAGTTTGGCATTTATTTGTGTCATTTTTGAAAAGGTCTTACTTACAAATGATGTATTGAAATACATTCTATGAGAGCTATATTTATTATCTATGACCAGTATTTTATCAATAAGTATTTAATTTTGTAAAGGTAAATTGTTTTCCCCTGTACTTTATGAATATTATCGGAACTGGTCTATATGTATATTTTTACTGTCGACTGTTTTTACAGTATGTCTGGACCCCTAATTGTATGTTGCAGTAATGGACATCCAGTTAAAGCCCATTTTAGAGCTTAAATACAGGGCTGTGAAACGCCACCCACACTCCACCCTTTAGTAAATTCCATGTGGTAACACACTATATTCCGATTATACTCATTCGTTTCCTCGTGTTTTACATTTAAGCCGACTTAAAGAATATAAAAGTACTAGAATTACTCAGTCTAAGTTTGTCGCCTTAACAAGGTAAACAAAGGAAATCGTTGTATAGTTGACAAAAAAAATGTACGTTAATTTGTAAAAAATGACACTTCTTCTCAGGAGAGATAGATACATATGACATAAAACCGCTAATATGATTCTGGCAGTACAGGGTGCAATTAAAATGTCGCTAATGATATTTGAGACAGATAGTGTCATTATCTGGGTCATGTTTTAGCTGGGAATGCAGGGAACACCCCAGCAGAAAGTGTCCCTAAATTTGGACAGTGGCGGGGTGCTTTGCCCGGTAACTTAAGCATAATTAGCCTATGGGTCACGGAGCCCTATTGTTATGTCTGTTGCCCCCAGCACCCAGCACGTGTCCTCTACAGTCAGCAATAAATATCATTCTACACTTTATCTGCTCCTGAGCTATAGATCCATGGGGGGTAAGCAGCTATCTGAGACAGCTATCCCTTTACACTCTGTCCTTGATGCACTCAGCATGATCCACGTAGCTGGTTCAACGTTTCACAGAAAACAGGATATCGCAACAAGTACAGGAGTCAATTTCTTCCTCCTCGCACGCAGCAGGAAACCAGCCAAGTTTATTTGGTCCGGGCAAATGTGGGAGACAATGTCCATACGACAAATAAGAACTAAGTGATCTTTCTGTGACAAAGTACAGCATTCCTGAACCGAGATTCCCCTCTGCCACTCCCTTCCGTGAAAAGGATAGCCTCGTGCTATTTTTCAAATTCTGTTTCTGAAACACTAAAATAATAGGTCTTCACCTCATTATCTGAAGGGTGGCGATTTCCCTTAAACAATCAACTGTAATTCAAGCTCCTTATGCCTTTCGTCTGGTTTCCTGTAGCACTTACCTCACACACCCATGTCTTTTAGCTAGAACATACTGTATTGATTTTGAAATATCATTAGCATTAATACCGACACCAGCAACAAACTGTATTTTATTGGTGTGTACTTGAAGGTAAAGTGCTAACACAAAAACATTAATAATAATAGTAACAAAAATATATATTATATGCTATTCAGCATTAGAAAGTACCGGTTATAAGAGCAGAAGGTGCAACTGAAATATTTCAAGAATACAAGCTTGAAAGAGACTACATTCATTTTTGTGGCTTGTTGGGAAATTTCCACTGGGAACCGAGAGATGTGGGCAAGACACAACATTCAGACAAATCACTCAAAACGCGTACTGCAGTGTAGAGAGATTTCTTTGGGCCAAAAGACCCAAACCTTGATTCTCTGCTGCCAGCTCATGTTAACAGTCACCCTCGCTTAGAATCAGCTATGATTTCCACTAAATCCTCACATCGTCTTTCTGTGAAGTACTCATCTCCTCACAGAGCATGGCCTGTGGAGTGAGATACATAAACAGAACAGACTGCTCTGTGACTCAGATTTGCCTGCTTACTCATGTGACTCTTGGGAACAGAAACATGCTGGTTTTTATACATCAGCCCCAAATTAAAACCACTAACCAGGTGGAATATCTGATCGATATCTGATGCACTAACGGCATCCTGGGATTTGGAGGCCGAGCGTCTTCATCTTCATAAAAGCCCCTACCGCTGTCCTCCGAAGGCCGACGCCCCATTAAAGACACAGAACTGGCAGCAGACAAGAGCCAAGCAGATAACAGGGTCTCACAAGACTAGCTGGTGCTAACAGAAAATTACACATCCAGACTGAGCCGCTGTAACATCTGCGCAATCCTCACCACGGTGTCTGAATGGGGACAGGCTGGCAGAGCAATACAAAGTCTATAATTCATGCAGTGCTGGATATGGAAGGGGCAGCTTCGGAACGCAACTTCCACTAAGGATTACAGCTCTGGGGAGAGGTTGTAAGTAATCTCACTGCTTTATTTTTAAACTCATTTACAAGGCTTGTATCTTTAGCCAGGGCAACTGAAAGTAGGCCTGTCAAACCACAATTCATGGCATACCACACCAAGTACTTCCACTGGAAAAAATACAAAGCATATCAAAGCAATGAGACTTTTGTATTAGCTACGAATAAAGCGGTATGGTTTGGCTGGGAGCTCGCCAGACATTTATCCGACAGGTGGACTTTGCTTAATTCATTCTTAATTATAGAGACGGTGATCCATTGTCCCAGAATGTCTGACACGATCAAAAGTAAAACTCATTCACTTTTATTTCACACGGGGTTAAAGTCTGAATTGTATGCCATGTAGGACAGGAGACTGTAAAATGAAATGGGTCAAAATTACTGGCTTAAGAAGCAACTGTTAAGTCGGCAATGAAAAGAAACTCAATTGAAAGATACATTATCTTTATTTGATGCTTGAAAGAATGAAACTCATAATAGTGAACATGTAACAAAGAAATTCACTGAATGAACCCAGGTTAATATAAAACTACGATCGCTCACGATGTCTTGAGACAGACGCTATAGCAAAAAAAGCAATATGATATTTTACAGCAAGACATCACAATTTAACCAGCTGTGGGATGAAAAAGAAGAAAAAAAAACAATGAGAATCAGGTGATTGAAGGGTAATCTGTCTAGTACAGTACTCTGAAACTGTATGCCTCTGGTTCATTTAACACCAACAAATTATTACCCAACTGGCTGAACAGCCTGTTTAACAGCTTTTATATTTAAACCCCGTTTTCTGTGATAAATTTAGTTACATAAATCCAAGTTCCTCAAATACTTGCACGAAAGTAACCATGTACAGCTGGGAAGCATTAAAAATCAATAATACTGCTTTTTCAGAGACATCAAGCTAAGTAATTTACTTCCAATATCAGTCCCATCACCTGGCTAAAATCCACAAGCTTCACCATCTGTAATTCTGAAAAACACTGAATAGAAACTGGGCAAAGCTGGGGCTAATGAAGAACTTTAAAACATCATTTTCAACACTGGACCCATTCTTGTTTTTCTGAGCACAAATCACTTTATCCTCAAGGCTTTTGCGTAAGGTCTCCAACTGCATGATCAGAGTGTCAGTTCCCCACCGTTGTTAAATATAATTTCCGAATTGGCAAACAAACAGCGGAAGCCATACTGTAATGTAGCAGCGTTTCAGTGTTTCCAAACAGAACTACACACATTCTGGGAAAGCTGAGGAAGAGTAATTTCACAGAATTGGAATCATCATAGGTATTAAGAAAAAAACAAAAAAAAACCCCAACCTTTTTCCTTTCCCAGAATTCATAGCAAGATGTGTGTCACCTTAAAGGTATGCCAGTCAGGACCCTCCTAGTACAAGCTGTCACAAAACCCAAATTACCCTTTTACACACAAAATAAACGTTTCCTTTTTAACCGAATTTTGTGAGACTTTACAAAAACTTGGCTTGAGGTGATAAAAACAGTAGTTTTAATTTTTTTGTTTTAAAAAAGAAAAGGCCTTTTGTATCAAATAACACCAGGATGCACAAGCCCAGCAGTTGGCCATATAGAGACTGTTTACAAAATGCCAGACAGTGATTACTCGTTTTCCTCGCCTGGGAATTTAATTTAAACTATCTTCGCCTCCTGGGAGAGGAGTCCCTGCTGTGGTCATCATTTCTCCTGGACTCGCGCTGTCTGTCAGAATGCCGGTTTTCCTTGCCCGACCTCTCCAGTCCATTCCTGTACGAGTCCCTGGAGTCGGTCTCCTTCCGGCTCCTGTCTCGAGACTTTGACCGCTGCCTGCCGGATCGACTCTCTGGCTCCTTCTCTCGGCTCCGGCGTGTGTCCGCGCGCCGGTCAGCCCGCGAGGCGTCTCTCGCGGCGTCCCGCTCCCGCTGCTTGTCCTCGTGGCCCAGGTCAGGCCGGCGAGAGACGTCACTCCGCTCCCGCTGGTGCAGTGGTGGGACCTCTTCCCGGTCACGCCCATGGTGGCGAGAGCCACGGTGCTGATCCTCGCTGCCGCCGTCTCGAGGGTGGTTCTGGTGCCGCTCGATGGGCCTCTCCTCCAGCGGAGGGTGCCTGTGGTGCTTGTCCTTCTTCTTCTGGACCTTCTTCTTGCGCCTCGCATCCGAATCTGGACAAAAATCAACACTGAATATCAGGCCCAGAATCCCTGCACACCTATCACAGCGTGAAAAGCAGGTTTATCAGGAATCGGAAAAAAATGACTGACGCTGCACATCTTATTGCGGCTCGGACCCGGTGTGGGATGCAGGGTGTTGGCAGGTTGCAACTGAATATTGCAGTAATGAACCAACCTCCCCAACCGTGAACACGTTCAATAACTTTCATTTATTATCAAAAGAAGAGCCACATGATGTCCATGCATGTTCGACTCACTGCTGACTCAAAACCTTCAAGGCATTTTGAGTTCAATGCTACTGGACAAATTATAGCGAAGACTCCACTGCCCT